TTCCTCACAATCAGACCAACAGTCCATACCTTCCTCATAATCCGAAACATTGGAAGAGTCAGATTCAGGAGAATGGGTTGGGGCAACCATACCTGACCGATCCAGTGGAGGTCGTGCAGAGGTGGACGGTGCAGAAGAAGATCCCGGGATGGGAAACGCCTGATGGTGACCCGATGATGCCATGGCTTGGAACACAGCCTGCGATATCCATACTTGGAGTTGGTTGGAGAAGGACTGCTCTAGCGGAGGCCATAACCCCGCAGCAGTTGGTGTGATAGCAGCGGCGGGTGCTGTTGATGGGCCGGGCAAATCAAGGTCCTCCCCAAACAGAGGTGGTCCTCCCTGACCAAAGGTCTGAGTCGACACCTGCTGATGCACGTTCTCAGGTGATCAAGCTCTCGATGTGGATGGTAGATGCGCCCCTGTGTCAGGTGGTGTGGAGGTTGACAGTGTATGACCTCTTTCAGCAGACAAGCGTTGGGCCCGGGAGAATTGCTTCTCCAGGGCTCTGTGTGTTCGATCGGCCTACCTATCACTTGCCTTGCCAACCTTCCTGCCATACTTCGATTTGGCTTTGGCCTTGCCTCTAGGCACCTCGAGTGCCGGCTCCACGTGGACCAGTGGTTATCAACCTTTTTAATGCCGTGACCCCCAACCGGTCGTAAGTCGAGGACTAATCAACCAGTCGTAAGTCGAGGACTACTCAACTGATGCAGCACCGTTTTCAGAATGGGACTTTTGGTGGGCTCAGCAGGGCAGAGACAGCCTGGACAATTCCTATTGGCTTTTGAAAGCCAATAGAATTAGACTCTATTCAAGAGAGTCTATTCTATTGGCTTTCAAAAGCCAATAGAATAAAAGGGAGCAGCACACAGCTATGGAAAAGGGGGGGGAAATGGCAGACTGCGTTGTTTGGCGACCCCCGTGAAATGGTCGTTCGACCCCAAATGGGCCCGACCCACAGGTTGAGAACCACTGACTTGGACGGAGGTGTTGTCTGTGTCCAAAGGCTGTGGCTCAGTGGTTTCTGCAATATCTATCAAGATGCATGCCAGAGGTGACTCTGGAACTGACTCGCTCTGCAAGGGACGTCAGGAGGTCTCCCTTAAGAGGGACTGACTTCACGTGGATTGGCGTGAGCCGGCCCACTGGCTAACCTGGGCTTACGCTTGGCGCTGAAGCGCTCATCACCTGGCAATGGTGGACCTGAGGCCAAATTGGTGACAAAATCACACGTATCCCACAATAGTGGCAATGGTCAGGACCTTGAAGCAACCACTAGATGCAGAGTGGCAGATATAGGCAATGTGGCGAGCAGGGCCTGAAGGACCGTTGCTTCTGCAATGATTCCATGCTCTTGTTGATATTAGATGATTTCAATAGGAATAATGGATTCTGAAACACTTAAGCTCAATGATAAAGTGAATACAGATAATGCAAGGGCAGATGTAAAATCTATGTAACTATACCAGTGAAAACTATGCAGAACAAAATATAACTACAGAAAGTTATTTAAACAAGCTCACAAAATTGCATCCTAGCCTGGGTGTGAAATGGGCGTTTCCCTGTGGAAATGTGCCTCAAAATGGCAGACGCCCTGACCCCCGGTGAGGAAGGAAGGGGGAGGAGGAGGAGGAGATTGAGACTCTTAAGACAGTCAAAAAGTACCCAGAAGGTAAGGAAGCAAAATTCGAGGCTTTTCTGCAATGTAGAAATCAGTTTGGCAAATCGTGCCTAACAGCTGTTAGGCGCGAAACAGCTCACCGCTATAAAATGAAACTTCCTTCTCTTCAGCGGCAGCCAGAGAGCAAACGAAAAGGCCAGGCAAAATTCCCCGTCGCTCACTTCAAACAATCCACTCAGCTGTGCTTCAGCCGGAAAAAAACTTTGGCGAAAGCTGAGCTCCGTGGATTCAAAATGGCGGCCGTTAAAGGAATCCCTGAACGGGCTCGGTCAGAGAAGAAGCCACATGGCCTCAAAATGGTGGCCACCAGCCAGAGAACACATGCGCTTGCTAGGGGAGTGTGAATACTCAATCCCCCTCTGACTGTAACGAAGGGAAAACTCCCCCCACTTCTATCTAGTAAAGATTTTGGAACAGCTCAGCAAACTGCTGAATCCAGGGAAAGGAAACCACCCCCCCAATCCTGGAGAGGAATGCTACTGAAGGGAAGGGGGAAAAGGATTCAGATCTCCCAGAGAAGGGAATAATCTCCACTAATTCTCCCAATCTCAAGAAGAATCCACCAATGGATTGATAATATCTAGTCTGACCTGCTATCCAAACGAACTGAGAGTCAAGTTATCATGTCCTCATGGGCGAAAGACCAAGATGAAACTGGGAGGTCCCAGACAAAGAGGGGCGTGACAACTTAGTCTGATTGGGCAGGAGGACTGAAATAACTCATTGGTGGATTCTTCAATCATCATGCTGGAGAAGGGAAGCGAAAGTGCCTCTCTGTCTCTCTCTGCAAATGGCGGAGGAGGCCATGCGGAGACGGATGCAGAACAGTGTCTCGGTTCCTAAGACCATTGGAAATATGTGTTTTCCGATGTCTTAGGCGACCCCTGTGAAAGGGGTCACGACCCACAGGTTGAGAACCGCTGATATAAAATATTATAGTTGATGAAGTATATTTTAAATTATTAGCAAACTGAACATATATATTCAGAAATAAGTTTCCTTCCTTCAGGCATATGTTACTGTGGTTGAGTAAAAGTATTCAGCAGATATACAATAACTTTTAAAATAAAACAGGGAGTGATTGAGATAGAATAGCAGTATTACAAATGTGACTGAATTTACATCTGTGAAACATTGAAGAATGCTACAGCTGCATTAGAAATATATTTAATTAAAAAAAGGAATTTCAATTGTGGAGCAACATAAAAAAGTGAGGTTGTTCCTATATCTACTCTGAATACCAATACAAATGTGCAAAATAGTTTTCCACAGGTTAATTTATAACATTTTTTGTAAATATTAAACATCCAATAAACTTTGGGGGCTCTTCAAGTTAGCATTGGCTCTTGGTTTCCCAGTTTCTAGCTCTCCCAATTACATTACTGCCCATAAAATTACTTGGTAACTGTCATCTAGGGAGATACATAGACAGCCAGATACTTTATTTTGTTTAGTAATTGTTAAAAACTTCCAAGTGCGGTACATACAGCTAACTACGCTCAAGAGCTAACATCAAATCTTATCTTCACCGTACTTAATATTGTAGAATAAATTATATTGATATGGTGAAATCTATTAAGTACAACAAAAATCACATACAAAAGGATCTCATTTAATATAGTTATTAAAGTACTTGAATGCTATAGATACAGTTTAGTTCTAAGTTGGATCTCTCCTTGATAAGTTTTCATCCGTTATTTCTTGTCCTGCCCTCAGTTTTTTTGGAAAATAGATTGACCCCCTCTTCTCTGTGACAGCTCTTAAAATATTGGAAGACTGCTACCATGTCAGCTCTAGTCCTTCTCTTCATTAGACTAGACATATCCACTTCCTGCAACTGTTCTTCACGTTTTAGCCTCCTAATTGTCTTTGTTGCTCTTTTTTGCATTCTTTCTAAAGTCTCAATATCTTATTTGTTTCATGGTGACTAAAACTGGACATATTCAAGTATTGTTTTATCAAAGCAGTATAAAGCGGTACTAACACTTCATGTGATCTTGATACTAGCCTTCTGTTGATGCAGCCTGGGACTGCACTAGCAGAATACTGCTAGCTCATATTTAAGTGGTTGTCCACTAGGACTTCTTGATCCCTCTCATAATTACTGCTATTGAGTCAGGAACCATGTATTCTATAGCTGTGCATTTGTTTTTTCTTGACTAAGTATAGAACCTTTTCTAACCACTGAATTGCATTTTGTTTGATAGGTCCCAGGTCAAGATTCTTCTGAAGTGTTGGCTATTCCCCCCAGCTTGGTCATCTGCAAATTTGATGATTTCCCCTTCTATCCCCTCATCTAAATTGTTTATGAAGATGTTGAAGATTACTGGGCCTACGACAGAACCATGGTGTACTCCACTGCATACTTCCCTTTGCTGGTTCTCTAATAGTTCCCCAGTGCTCCAGGATATTTGAAAGATATGGTTAGTAGTTCTAAGATCACATCTATCAGCTCCTTCAAAACTCTAAGATGTAATTTATCTGGTCTTGGTGATCTGAATTCATCTGCAATGGATAAGGGTTGTCTTACCATTTTCTTGCCTATTTTGACTTGATTAATTTGACTTTTACATACTGTTTTGTGGGTTAGACTGTTTTTCCTTTTGTGTAAAGACAGATAAAAAGAATGACTTAAGCAGTTCCACTTTCTCCCTGCTGTCCATCACCTTATCATCTTCTCCATTAATAGATCAATCATTTCCTTTACTTTTTTCTTGTTTCATTCATGCTGAATAAACTTAAATTATTTTTGACATTTGTTGCAAGTCTTTGTTCATTCTCAGCCTTAACTTTCCTGACCCCGTATAAAAACCTTTGTGTGTAGTACTTATTTGTGCAGCAGTTTCTTATTTCTTTTGAAAAAATAAAATTGTATTTTAGTAACATTTTGAGGGCTACTTTGATGTGAACAATAGCTTACATACTACAAGTCACAAAGGACATGAAGCCCAATCCAAACAAAGCACATTGTGCTCTATGGTTAAACATAAATGAAATAATAAATGCAACTATCTCTAGCTAATGGTGTGCTACACAGTTTGTCTATGTACATCAATAATATAAATGAATGTAAACATTCTACAAAAATCATGTCCCTATGTAAACCAATTAACATAACTTTTCTTAATTTAAAACAGAAGCAGACACTACATTAGGATAGTTTATACTACACCTACTAAGATGTCCATGTCTACTGAGAAATTAAAAACTATTGCACAAAAACCAGTATAATAGCATTTTTACAGTACAATTCATTAATGATAGTTAGATTTCTATGTACCACTTTCATTATGGCAGGCCTTATTGTTTCACTTACCATTCTTCCTCTCACTAAGAGGAGGAAGATTGGGGTTCCGGCCAAGATGAAGGCCTACAGTCAGCTCGGGTTGCAAGGAAAGTTCCTGCAGTTCATTGGCAACAGCTTCACTTTGTGGGCTTGGTGCAGCCGAAAGAGACACCGAGAGTGTTTCATCTTCATTCTCGCCAACCCCTCCTCCGTCCAGCCCATTTCCAGCAATGACGGAAGGGGGCAGGCACAGGACGCCAGAGAAATCCACTTTGGCTTTCTTGATGACAGCCTGAAGAGAGAATTAAAAGTTAGAAATTAAGGAACACATACACATATGCATACCTACATTCTTATACTCTCTCTCTCTCTCTCTCTCTCTGTGTATGTATGTATGTATGTATGTATGTATGTATGTATGTAGGTCTTTGGTTATTCGGGTGTTCTCCTGCGTAAAATTGGAAGTGTTTTGGCAACGTTTTGATGAAGTCCCATTCGTCATCTTCAGGCTGGTGTTTTCAGCTTTGTGCTTCTAGGAGCAATGTGTGATTGTAGCTGTTTCTTCCTTTTAACTGCCAGTGGGGGTATGAACTGATTGGGTGGGAGCTTGGCTATGTTCTGATTGGGTGGAGATGTGTTCGGATTGGTTAGGGGGAATGTTCTGTTTGGGTGGGGGCTTTGTTGTGCTCAGGTTAGCCTGAGTTGCAGGGGGATTTGAGATGGTGAGCTGCGTTGCTGTTGTTTGGCTTCGCGTTTGTGGTCATGCCTCATCTTCATGGTGGGTGTCAGTTTGCTTCATGTATGGATTGGAGGGGTTTAAAGTGGCTAATGATGCAGCTGTGGTCTGGCTTCTGGTTTGTGGTCGTGTCTCATCATCAGTGTGGGTTTGGGTTTGCTTTTTGCGTGGATGTGTGGTGGTGACATCCTGTGTGGTTTTCGTGAGTGTGGGTCTGGTGTCATTCTTTGTGTTAGGGACTCGTTTGTCAATAAGGGCGGGTTTCCAAATGGCTGGTAGGCAGGAGGTATCATCTTGTTTATTCATGCTGTGAGGGCGTTTTTTTATCTCAATGGCTTCTTGATTATTCTGTTATTAAAGTGTTCAGTTTTGGTGATAGTTCTGGTCTTTTTAAAGCCAATTTCATGTCCTGTGGCTTTAAGGTGTTGGACCAGGGAAGAAGTTGGTTCCTCTTTTTTGACTAACCTGAACACAACAAAGCCCCCAACCAAACAGAACACTCCCCCATCCAATCAGAGCACAGCCAACCCCCCCATCCAATCAGAGCACAGCCAAGCCCCTACCCAATCAGCCAAGCCCCTACCCAATCAGAACACAGCCAAGCTTCCACCCAATCAGTTCATACCCCCACTGGCAGTTAAAAGGAAGAAACAGCTACAATCACACATTGCTCCTAGAAGCACGAAGCCAAAAACACCAGCCTGAAGATGACGAATGGGACTTCGTCGAAACATCGCCAAGACACTTCCAATTTTACGTGGGAGAAAACCCGAATAACCAAAGACCTACATACAAACACCTGCGAAAACCTCAGTATATACACACACACACACACACACACACACACACACACAGACATACATACACATATACATATATAGATATACATACACACACACACATACACATATATATATTCACTTAATTTAAGTTTAAAATAAAATTAGCCGTTCAAATTAGTGTTTAATTTTTTTAATGCAAAAATCAGTTATCTAAAGCAGTTAGTGTTATTTTCATTCTTCTAAATTCATTTCAGTGAAGGAGTCACATTCATAATTCAACTCTAGCTTACTACTCCAACTGAATGTAACTATGTGCTTAGTTAACAATGTAAGAACCACACTATTAATGCTACCATTAGAAAAAGATGTAAATATTGAATTTGACTTAGAAAAGTCATAGGAGATTTTAAAACTGGCTAAGTTGATCTGTCCCAATTCTGAAGCAGAATAGTTGTAAAGCGTTTTCAAAACTTGATCTTCAGTATGCAGCCTGAGACCCTATTTGATAACATTTGTTTCTTTTTGCGAGTATTACAGGCTCCAGCAGAGCAGAAACACAATGATGATGTAGATAGATCAAAGCACTAAAGCCCTCTAAACCTGCCAGAGGAGACTAGTACTAGCTGATGGATTTCATCAAGCTGAGTTAAGCTTTTATTTCTTGAGTTATTTCCAGGTGCAAGTACAGTCCATAGTTGCATTTCTCCAACTGGAACTCTACGTGGAGTATATTTTTGTACCATCCATAAACTATTTTTATACTTATTATCAAATATTTTGCATAAACCATTTTTATTTCCATTTTGTAGATGAGAAAACTTTCTTCCTATTTTTCCCCCACTTGAAAAAAAAACCACCTCACACTAATATTGACTACTAAACTCAAAGGCTTAACACTAAGATTTAGATTAATATTTTAGTATTAGACATAAATGGCAACTAATGTAATGCATTTTTGTTGTTAAATAGGATTAATAAAAAGTTATAAAGCTTTTCTTGAGAGAATGTAAGTGAGTCTTCTTATTAAAAAGGAGGAGCTTTCTAGATACCTTCCATTGTAACCAGGAATACTATCCCACATATAAATTAATATGATGTAATGCCAGTGCATTCTCCCTTCCTTACACACACACACACAAACACACACACGGAAGAATTCAGACCAAGAAACAGCACTGTAAAAAACAAGAGCAAATTTCTTCTTTTTTCAGCAGAAAACAATGCAATGTAGAAAACACCTTTCAAAAAAGAAAATTACCTTAACATGTGTCAATTATTAGGCAAAAATGTGTATTTGATGCATACTTTTTCAATCACTTCAACAGGTACACATTACAATCTCATTGAAAGAAAATAACTAGATGACATTTTTGGACACATTGACCCAAGTCACTTCTTTGTTTACAAAAAGCATGTGAAACGTCCAATTTAGCAATTAGTGGCAACTTCTTTAGCAATAGTGATATCTACCTATTGTTCAATCCTATACATCAATTCAAAACTATTTTGCCTATTATTCTTACAGAAATGCTTCAACTCATTATTTCAGGCTTCCATTCATAAGCCACTTGCTTGTGACCCATATCTCAATCAGGTTAAAATTAGGGCTTTCATTTCTTCTGTTTCAGCAATTCTGTTATATACCTGGTAATCCTGATGCGCCGCCAGCTCTCAACTTGGCTCCCCCCGTCTCTGCCTCCATGCTCAGACTTACCTGCGCTGCGCTAAGGGGCTGGCGGGCTATGGCTGCTGCCAGACATTGTCGGCCCCTGAGTGCTCACTGCCTCTTGTGCACACACCGGTGTTTGGGCGCCCAGCCAGGCTGATTACCCTGATACCGTGTTTCCCCCAAAATAAGCCCTAAGGTGTCTTTTGAAGCCAAAAAAATTATAAGGCCAGGTCTTATTTTCGGGAAAACATGATAACTTTTAGAGATTTTGGTTACATTGTAATTAGTTTTTAATTTTTTGTATTTTGTTTTATGTTTTTAAGTATTTATATTTTTGTGAGTCTCCTAGAGTTTTTAACTGGGATTGGTGTGTGTATAAATTTTGTAAAAAAATAATCAACAGCTCTCTCTCTGAGTTCTACAAAGGTATCTTTTGATCAGTACATGATACATTTTTATAAATTTGTGATATGAACAGCAAACTCCACAAATTTTTATAAATTTGTGATATGAACAGCAAACTCCAACAGCAAACTCCAATCAAAATATATGCTCTTTTTTAAGTTAATGAACCATCAAACTCATATCTAATTGTGATCTCACTTATTGGAACATCTGACTCAACTTACTCTTCTTAAGAAGGCTAATTAATCTAGTTCTTCACATACTTTTTCTAACTAAGATAGTGAATAGGACGTCTTCAATAAAGTCATGTCACAGTAAAGTTTCCCCAAATATTGAATCTATAAAGGAGAATATCTGTAGCTTAGGGTTGAAATGAGAGGTCTCTGATGCTCTCTGAGCTTGGTTGTTTTCTTGCGGACATTTCATTACCCAAACTTTGTAACATTATCAATGCTAGGAAAGAGTGTGGTTTGCTCTCAGTTTATATTCTAGTGGTTTGCCCTGTCAATGTTAGTGGAAGTGGTCTTGGAGGTTCTTTGGTTGGGCTGTTTACTGTTAGCTTGTTTGGCAGTTCCTTGATTGGGGTATTGTTTACTTCTTGATTGTTGGTCTAATGTTAATGTTAATCTATTGTCATTTGGGTTCAGGTATTGCCTTGCATTTTAGTAAAGTCAAGTGACTAATCAATAGAAGTGAAGTAATTAGTGCACTCTTTGGAATGTTTGTTTAACCATAATATGCGTATGCATTACCAGCACTTAGATGAAGTTTTTCATGTATAGAACAATTATGAATCGTTTCAACTCATTCCAACAAAATGAGTTTCAATGTGGAGAAAAGCAAAGTTTTACATTTAGGCAAGAAAAAGCAAAGGTACAAGTACAGATTAGGCAAGACCTGCCTCAAAAACAGCAACTGTGAGAGGGACCTTGGAGTCCTAGTAGATGATCACTTGACTATGAGCCAGCATTGTGAGCAACAGCCAAAAAAGCTAATACAATCCTGGGTTGTATAAACAGAGGCATAGAATCAAGATCATGTGAAATATTAGTTCCGCCTTATAAAATCCTAGTAAGACACCTGGAATACTACAGCCAATTTTGGTCACCATATCACAAAAAAGATGTTGAGAATTTGGAAAAAAAATTCAGAGAAGAGCAACTAAGATGATCCAAAGCCTGGAGACTAAAACATACGAAGAACGGCTGCAGGACTTGGGTTTGGCTAGTCTAAAGAAAAGAAGAAATAGGGGAGGACTTCTGGTTTTGCACTGTGGTGAGATGGACGCAGGAAGGCAGGGCTCTGCCTTCCACACCCAATTTCTCCCTGCTGGGGGCCCTAAAAGGACCTAAAGTCACCCCAAAGAGGCGATGAAGAAGGATCACAGAGAGACAGCGGCCTTTCCGTTCCATCTGAGGAAAGCCCTCCAAACCGGCAGGAAAAAGACTGGCTACATTCCTGTGGCCAGCAATTAGCCACTAATAACTGGAGAAGAAAGTACCAGTTAGCAGATCATAAACAGCATGTTTGAAACTGGTGAGAATATTGATCCTTTCTTCACTATTTTACAACTGAATTTCCTGGGAAGGGCTTTCAGGAAACTAAAAACCTCCGAACATGAGAAGCAGCATTTTAATTTATTTTATGGGGGACAGAAATACATAATACTGAAGTGGAAGTAACATAAAGCTACAGTTTTG